GCTCGGTCTCCCCACAGCGCAACATTTATTGTCACATTACTATTAAAAGGTATAGTATAATGGCAGAAAAAGTATATGGATGGTAAGTGTTTGTTATGTTATTAGTAAAACAGAACAATATACAAAAAGCACATATTGAAAGGAAGGAGAATATTAGGCAGCGGTTAGCTGGCGTTACTGGAACAGTGGCAACAAAGTTGTTAGGGAAGCAGAGTAAATATCTTTTGGCAGATATGAAAAACTGAGATGGAGGACTAACTCGGCATCACGGATGTAGATGCTCCTCTTGAGGCTTTCACCGTCTCTGATGCATGTCTGGATAGGAGCTACTGACGTTATCTCAGTAATGATTCCAATAGCATCTGCTATGATGACAATAGGAAGGAATAGTCTCTTAGGAATGCAATGAGAACAGTAGTAATTTATAAGAACTTAACTGCAACTATAATACCTGTGAAAAAGTCTTTCCTGTTCACCCGGCTCCTTAGCTAATCATATGGCGTTAAAGAGTAAACATACTTAGGGAAATCTTCTAGCACATCATTGCATTCTTCCAGTGTGGACCACTTTGTGAAAGAAATTGACTGCATATTGCTCACTGGCCTATACTGGCTGGTGCACTGCCTTACACGATAGAATGTCAGATCATACACCTTCCCTTCAGTGATCTGAGGCTGGAAAAGCTCATCTAATGGTGGGAAAATCTGGGCTGCAATACTGGCTCCCTGTTTACACAGTAGTACAAAGGGAAAATATGTGTATGAACTGTAAGCAAAGATTCCAAAGAACTAACCGTGCGATCAAGCAGAACCAGCCCAAGATGGTGCAAATTACTTTCATCATTTTGGTCACGAAAAGCCCAGAACCTTGACACACGAACACGAATTGTTGGGTTCCCAAGACTAGGTTCAAGCCTATTAATTAGCGTAGCCTCCATTTGTACAGAAAGTTTGAAACGGATAGTTCATAACGGAAATTCCTAGGATATCATAGGTACGGCAAATAGTAAAGGCATAGATAAGAGGGATGTAAGATAGGCAACATTACATACACAATACAAACAAGGCACACCTAAAAGTGAAAAAAAATAGGTATACAACAGCTGCAAAAAAGGCGATATAGCTGGTAGCTAGGTGCCAACATCCTGCAGTATAGAAAGCACAATATATTAAAGTGTATTTGGATATAGCGTCAATTTCATAGGGATGTCGATGGAGCTAAACTATCTAAAATATACCATCGATCTCACTACGTCCAATACTTCTTGGTAAACCACATTCCTGGTTTTTGAACCACAGACCTCATCCTCATCCTCTATAAGGATTCTAAGGCCTACTCTTGAGGTTGACCTAGAAGCAGCGACTTATAGTTGGCCATGTGTAAAGACAGGTTTTTTTAGATAAACCCCAACCCGTGAAAGAGTCTGCCCCTGGCTCTTGTTAATCGTCATTGCATAGCATATGCGCACAGGGAACTGTCTCCTTTGAAGTGTAAAAGGCCACTTAGAACTTGTAGTTGTAAGCGCGATTCGAGATATGAAAGCCTTCTCACCAATGTTAGAACCAGTCAATATTACACACTCTATAAGTCGATGGCCTAGAGAAACAACCAATAGTCTTGTGCCATTATAAAGACCCATAGATTGATTTAAATTTCGCAACAACATAACTGTGACACCCTTTTTAAGAGTAAGACGATGTGATGGGAAATTGTTAACATTAATAGAATCTAAGAACTCAGTTGGGTAGAGTATATCAAAGTCAGGCATATGGTCACATGCTTTTGAAATTGTATCACAGCTAAGATATTCTTTAGCTTCGGTAGGTATCATCTTAACAACACAATCATTTATTTCATCGACTGTTGAGTTATTTGGGCAAACAATAGCACGACATGCTAGATAGGAATGATCTGTGTAGCTGGAGGGGAAATCTGGAAAGACCTCATCTATAATTGCCTTTACTTTGTCGCCGGGTGTCTTTATTAGTAAATCATTAGGAATATCTATCCATGTTGGTTCAGATTCATCGTTTTTTTTGGTTGTAGGTAGCATGCCATCACCGAGATCTAGGATCCAATTACCAAATTCTTCAAGGTCTCGTCGGGTGCGTTCATTAAGCCCATTTTGAAGAAGTCTCATATTAATTTTCAGTCTTAAAAGAGTAACATGCCGCCAGAGGGGGGAGTTAGTTATGGATGCATCGACTATGGAAGCACGCGAGCCCTTTCTTATCACTTCTAGTATGTGTCGAAAATCACCTCCAAGCACAACTACCTTACCGCCAAATGGCAGCCTGCCATTAGAAGGTTTTTGCTCGGATAGTAAATCACGCAAAGTTCGATCTAATAAGTGATGTTTCCTATGAGTCATTGGAGCCTCATCCCATATAATAAGTGATGTTTTTTGAATCAGCTCAGCAAGCATAGTACCTCTTTTAATAGCGCAGATACTGGTTTCATCAATCTCAATTGGTATTTTAAATCTTGAAGGAGCAGTGCGTCCTCGAGGCAGAAGCAGTGAAGCAACACCTGAGGAAGCAACAGCAAGGACAATTTTCTTTTCAGATCGTATTTTTGTAATCAACGCGTTCCATAGAAATGTCTTGCTTGTACACCGTGGCCATATACAAAAAAGAATCCAGGTTTGGAATCGCTAACATTTCATAATCGTCTTAAAAATAGTTTTCTGATCGACGTTTAATTATGGAATTATTGATCTAGCGATGGTATCTAGTGTGGCGCTGTCAAGAGCTAACTCTTCCTCAATCATTCTATTACCTACCACATCATCTGAATAAATCGCTGGGCGCGGTAAATCGTAGTCGTCTATGGTACCACCACTGTTGGAAAAAGCAGTCTGCACTTCTTTCATTAACAGTGACATCAGCCTTTCATGGGGGACCAAATAAGAAGGGTTCAACAGAGCTATTCTAAGACGTCGTTGTATATCGTCGGTAAAGTACAACCAATATTTTTCAAACAGGGATCTCACATTTCCAACAGAGCAGAACATCACAATAGTAACAAATAACTGTCTTAATTGGCTAGATGATGCAGATATTATAGCCTTGTCAAATAGCAAGTACCACTCATTATCACTCTCGAGTAACCCTCTTGCTTCGCACGCCTCTCTGAACGTTGTATAAACAACACCGTCGTATGTTCTAACATCAGCATATGACATCGCACCTTTCACTATCATCAATAGCATTCATAGGTAGTACAATTCTCCGCTCGCTGGGCTCACATAGTACATCCTACCTATCTTTTCGCATGGTGTTCTAGGATGCCAGCTACATGAGCTGTTATCCCATGTCCATTCCTTTGGGAAATCGCAGTATGTCAGTGTTCTTGCAGCACTATGTTTTTTATTGGCCTCAAACCATTCTGTCAGCATCATTTTTTGGGCTGCAGGACTTGTAAGCAGCGAATTCAGGTCAGCACCTTTTTTGTATCGAACAAAGTTCTGGTATGGAAGATGCACAGTTAGGCGCTCAACCGAAGGCACCCTATAGTGGATATCAAACTCAAAAGCATGCCAAAGGGACTCACAAGTAGAAAGGAACCTTGCATCAATGTACTCTTGTATCTCATTCCGTGGTGTGCTGTTACTGTTTGGTGTTTTCTTTGATGTGTCATTTTGTGGTGCACTATTATTTTCAGATAACTGACTCGGTAACTTACTATTAACCTCATAGTACGCTTTAGATCTGTCGGTTCCTTTTGTGACATACTTAAAGAGGTACTTAATCATGTTAGATTTATTGCACCATTCGACATTTATATGTGCTTGGTATTTTTTAAGAAGTTCCATGTTGTAAGGCACAACCCATTGATTATCGATCTTCACTCCATTTTTAAGAACATATCGGTCGTTATCTCTACGTTTGTAAATAGTAAAACCAAACTCGTCCATTATTGTCTCGTCCTGAAAAGACTTAGGGAAGTGCTTAGAACACTCCCCTTTTTTCATGCATGGGCATGATTTGTTCTGGTTGCCACAAGGGCCATGCATCATGAACTCATCAACCAAAGCATACCCCAATGGATCAGTGAAAATGTCAGGGATTTCAGCAGAAATGAACCCATCAACAATAGGAGCACTGAAGTCAATAGTGGATGCAGCAAGCCAAATAAGGCAATGTATATGAGGGGGCCCACGCTTCTGAAATTCTACTGTGTAGAGCACTATATGATAAGCACAAAATATCAGAACCAACCAAGGAAGCACAGAACAAACTAAATAGAGCAAAAACAAAAAGCCTACCAGCAAGGACTGGGCCAAATGTCTTTCCTTCCTTAATGTCCGAGATAAACTCGTCTACTTTCATGTTGAAAACTCTAACAATCATATCAGAACGGTCGCTTGGTACCTGGCCTGGTTCAAACAACAATGCATCGTATATTTCTTGCCACTTAGAATTGCAAGTAAAAGTCACAAATAGGTCAGGTGCTCCAAATACACGGCATATGGCCATTGCATCTTGGTAATTCTGTACCATATAACGTCTGCCACCAGTAAAACTGGTGGGCAGTACATACTTCTTTCCTACAGAATCCCCAGATGCAAGACCATGATCAATGGCATCACTTATCCCTTGTACAGATTCTGAGCGGAGTTCATGTTGGTTGTCAGCAATGTATTTTAGTCTAGACCCTTCTACAGTTGAGTATGAGTCAACACATATTGCATCATTTAGATGACCACATCAAGTATAGGGATTTAGTTTATTCAACCGGTAATGGAGTCGGTAGCGGTAGTAATCAAGCATTGTAACATAGCGTCGTGAATTACCAGAAATGCTAGGGAAGTCAGTGTACTTTATACCTAAATGGAACGAAACTCCTAATGCGCGATCAATCGTTGGGCGACAGGAGCAGCGATCGATTTCCCTTTCCGCCACTTGCCGCCACCACTTGCCTTTTCTGGCTTTTCTCAGCCTCTTTCCTATTGGGCTTGGCCCACGAGAGCCCATCCACAGCACGGAACCGTTTTTGGCTTTTTTTTATCGCCCTTACCAGAAGCGGAAGCGGATGCCGTTGCAATTTTGAACAGTACCCTCTTCTTCCTCTCCTGGCGATTTCGATTTCTCCTGTGATTCTCCGACGATTTTTCTCCAACGCAACGTGGTTCGTCTCCTGATCTCCTCGAGCATCCTTGGAATCGATTCCTCCTGCTATTTCTCGGTTATTGTAGTTAGGGTTTAATTTTTGGAAGTGATTTTCTGTTCCCCCGAGCTAGCTTGATTTGATTGGTGATTTTTTTTGTTTTAGTTCCTTGGTTTTTTGGGTTTAGATCCATGGCGTTTTGGGTTTGTCCGTCACAAAATCATGCCGTGAAACCACATGCACCACGCTGTAGACGCCGCCGTAGACGTCGTCGCCGCCGTAGACGTCGTCGCTGCCGCGGTTGACGTCGTCGCCGCCGCGGTTGACGCTGCCGCCGCCGCCGCCGCCGTAGACACCGTCACCGCCGCCCGTCGCTGCTAGGGTTAGGGCCTAACCCTAGCAAAATCATGGATCTAAACCCAAAACGCCATTGCTTGAATCTCTGTAAGCTGGAGTATTGCAATGAACTACTGTAAGCAGGAGTATTGCAAATGGGAATATTTGTGGCTGCATATTTGCTGGATATTTTCCATGTGTATCCTGGAGTGAGTGGACAATTTGGGTAGATTGCTGCATATTGCTGAATCAATGCATTGATATAGCTGGAATATTTGGGCAGATTGCTGTAAATGAATGCTATTTTTGACTGCATATTGCTGCACAACTGATGACTGCATTTTTTTGCAATGTGATTTTCAATCCAGAGCAATATCCAGCTGCAATCTTGGAGCATATTTGGCTCCTGAAATACTACATATCTCAAGTTATTTTGCCAGCATGATTCAAGTTATTCACAGAGAAATTTTTCTATCTCCATGCCCTGCTTGACCTGGTATTATCATGAGGCTTTCACATGATGCATGGATTGCTGCAATCTGATTTTGTAGGTGTCATCATATAGTTGTTGCTTTCTAATAACATTCATACTTGAGTGAGATTTTCAGAGAAAAAACTACAGAGGATTTAATAGGAGCAAAAACATCTTTGTGCATTAACTTGGTGTACTGAGTTTTTTGTCAGAAATGTACTATTTTGCGTTCCTCCATATGCAGTTAGTTTTTTCCCCTGAAACGATTGTGCGCAGATTTGCTTTGTTCTAGACAAATTTTTGGGAGAACCCAATAGGGGCTGGTTTTGAATTTTGTTTTCTGACTCGATTTTTTCAGTTGATTCTAGGTGTCCTCATCAACTGATTTTGTTTTTGTATTTGTAGGATTAGATATTCAGTAAAGTTTCAGTGTTTCGCTCTGTTTTTTATAGTGCAATGGGTGCACTTTTTTGTCTAAACTGTGTGCTGGTAAATATAAACGATTAAACCATCCAGAACTGAGAAAACCTAGCAGCCGCTTGTGTTGTGTTTGATTACATACTGCAGATTTATACACCTCTGCATTTCTAAGTTTGTATTCCTGCAGTCATCAACTCATTATCCTCTTATACTGAGTTAAGTTCAGTCTGGTTGCAGGTAGTCACGAAGTTTTGATGATTTTTGTAAAAATTTTCATGAGCATATATTGTTGTGATTGACTGGCCCATCTGCACTTTTTGGCATTTTTGACCACTAGCACTGAATGGTGATCTTTTTGCCTTATTGTCATATATGCCCTCACTATTTGCCATTTGTGGGTTCATGTTAGCTTAACTCTTTTTTTTGTTACTGTGGATATGCATATGTTTGCCACCTCATCAGCACTCATAAGCAATCAACTTAGACAGATTTTGCTTTGTTCTAGATAATTTTTGGGGGAACCAGTAGTGACTGCTAGTGAATTTTATTTTTCTGATTCGATTTCAGTTGATTCTGGGATCAACTGATTTTTGATTCTCACATTTCAGTTGATTCTCATATTTTATGACTAGTAGTGACTAGTGTCCTCGTCAACTAATTTTGCTCTCATATTCATAGGATTAGATGTTCAATTAAGTTTCAGGATTTTGCTCTGTTTTTTATTGGACAATGGGTGATTTGGCTAAACTATGTGCTTGTAAATATAAAGTATTAAAGTATATGTGATGGGTGGTAAGTACATAACAGGGGGTGCTTGACATGGTGACTAACAGGACTAGTCCATACATATAAACAATTTTTTGATCCAGTGTTTTGCTACTATGTCCTGATAATGTACAACATATAAAAAATTCTCACTACACCAAGTCACCAAAAATGCTCATACATGTGTCTGAAAACCAAGGGGTAGAGAGAGAGAGAGAGAGAGAGAGAGAGAGAGAGAGAGTACCTTCAGCATATAGAGAACGAACAGCTTGGACGGAATAAAATCTCCTGGATGAATAGTATCTTTTTTTGGCGCTTTTCTGAATTCCATTGTTTCATGTTTTTTGCATAACCTTTTTGATTTCCTTGCCGCTATCTGCTTGTATCAATGATTTCTAATAAATCAGTTGGTCAGGAGCTCAAGGTGTCTATGTAACTGTTGCGCAGATAACAAATTCCATTACGTGACTCAGGCAGTATGGATGATTTTGAGGAACATGGTATTAGTTATCGTGAAGACTCGGACTGTAGCGAGGCAAATTGTGCAATTTCAGATTATGTTCCAAGCAAGGATGCCACTGGTGAGCACTCTGCAAGCAAAGATAACAGCTCGGCAGAATCTGAAAGTAACAGAGTTGAAATAAAGCAGTCTTCAGATTCTGCAATAAAAAAAATGGAGATATACTATTTTTATGATAATGATTTTACTAGTCTATTTCCCTGTTTCTCTTTAACCGCTATAATGTCCCATACCATGGATCAATTAAACCAAGCAAAGTGTATAAACTTACTAATCGCCCGATAGGTTTTTTTTTAATTCACATGTTTTTGTTTCTATCCCCTGCCAATTTCTTGTGTTTATAATGTTTCGAAGTATAAAGTGTTTAAAGTAGAATGTTTGTAAGTATAAAGTTTCTGCAACTATAAATTTTTGGATGTTGAAACTTTTATTAGTGTAAATTTTACAAGTATAAAGTTCCTATATAAAAAAATATTGGAATCCGAATTGTAATTTGAATCGGGTATATAAACTTTTGACTTATAAACTTTAGGTCTACAAACTTTAGGTATATAAACTTCAGATGTGTAAACTCGAGGTGTACAAACTTTAGGTGTATAAACTTACTATTTGCCCGATAGGGTTTTTTTTAATACACGTCTTTGTTTCCATCCCCTGCTAATTCCTTGTGTTTATAATATTTTCGAAGTATAAAGTGTTTAAAGCAAAATATTTGTAAGTATAAAGTTTCTGCAACTATAAACTTTTGGATGTTGAAACTTTTATTAGTGTAAAGTTTACAAGTATAAAGTTTCTATATAAAAAATATTTGAATCCGAATTGTAATTTGAATCGGGTATATAAACTTTTGACTTATAAACTTTAGGTCTACAAACATTAGGTGTATAAACTTCAGATGTGTAAACTCGAGGTGTATAAACTTTAGGTGTATAAACTTACTATTCGCCCGAGAGGGTTTTATTTTAATACACATGTCTTTGTTTCCATCCCCCGCTAATTTCTTGTGTTTATAATATTTTCAAAGTATAAAGTGTTTAAAGCAGAATGCTCGTAAGTATAAAGTTTCTGCCACTATAAACTTTTGGATGTTTAATTTTTTATTAGTGTAAAGTTTACATGTATAAAGTTTCTATATAAAAATTTTTTTGAATCCGAATTGTAATTTGAATCGGGTATACAAACTTTTGACTTATAAACTTTAGGTCTACAAACTTTAGGTGTATAAACTTCAGATGTGTAAACTCGAGGTATACAAACTTTAGGTGTATAAACTTACTAATCGCCGGATAGGGTTTTTTTAGAATACACATGTTTTTTTTCATCCCCCGCTAATTTCTTGTGTTTATAATGTTTTCGAAGTATAAAGTGTTTAAAGCGGAATGCTCATAAGTATGAAGTTTCTGCAACTATAAACTTTCGGATGTTTAATTTTTTATTAGTGTAAAGTTTACAAGTATAAAGTTTCTATATAAAAAAATATTTTGAATCCGAATTGTAATTTGAATCGGGTATATAAACTTTTGACTTATAAACTTTAGGTCTACAAACTTTAGGTTTATAAACTTCACATGTGTAAACTCGAGGTATACAAACTTTAGGTGTTTAAACTTATTAATCGCCCGATAGAGTTTTTTTTAGAATACACATGTTTTGTTTACATCCCCCGCTAATTTCTTGTGGTTATAATGTTTTTGAAGTATAAAGTGTTTAAAGCAGAATACTCGTAAGTATAAAGTTTCTGCGACTATAAACTTTCGGATGTTTAATTTTTTATTAGTGTAAAGTTTACAAGTATAAAGTTTCTATACAAAATTTTTTTTGAATCCGAATTGTAATTTGAGTCGGGTATATAAACTTTTGACTTATAAACTTTACGTCTACAAACTTTATGTGTACATAAACTGTTCTTCCCTTGTTTGAACTTCTCTATGTAGTGTAGTTTCCAATCACTGAGTCGCACATTGTCATTTCTTTAGTTGCATATTCCTTTTTTTTATGGGATTTTTTTGTTATGTTTTGTTCATCATGGATTTCATGTGACCCAATTTTAGCAAATTTATGTACATCACAACTGTCATATATTTATGTGCAGGAACGGCTCTAGTTTAATTTAAAGCTTTGTTTCCACAAAACTGTCAGTAGTATAAAATTGAATATTTTTTCATCTCTATTTTCTCCGCACAACTTATCATGTTGCTTGCCCAACTTTTTTCTCCCATTTAAGTTGTAACAATTTTAAAAATATTTTTTCTCGTCACAGGTTTCAGTTCAAGGCCATTTTCAATGATCCTAATGTTCTGCTAGCGAAAGTGCAAGTTGGCAATCCCCTTTTATAAAACAAATACAATGTTCTCTTTTTTTCCCACATCATGTTTTTATTGTGCAATTCAACTATTTTTATCAACATTTTTTCAACCTGTCAATTCGCCATCTACAAAAATGACGAGCTGATGAACTCCATAGCGCAAACCTGAAATCTAGCAAGTGTGTCACATTTTACTTTAACTTTATGGTTTTTTTATCTTGCATTTTTTTTAATTCAGTACAAATGAGTGAGAAAGCTACAGCTTTTGTCATTTCAAAGTTACTTCAATTTATCTCTCCACCCTCCGCTTATCCGCTTATCCCTACGTACCACATCCCAGAAAGTCAGTATAATTGATGAAAAAAGCTACAGTTTTTGTCATTTGAAAGTTATTGATCTCCCCACCCTATACTTATCCCTACTTACCACATCCTAGAAAGGTAATGCCGAAAAGAAGAGCAAATTTGGTACGTACCATCGCAAAGTTCCTGGTGTTGGAAAATACCATCGCAATGAGCTCGAGTAGAAAAGTACCATCCAAATTGCCCAGTTTGTTAGAAATGCCCCTACCGTCGCTTTGTCCGTTTGAAGACGTCGTTGATGATGCGAAATGGCGATGATGCCCCTGCTGTGGCCACATAGGAGTGGTTTTTGGGCCGACTTTCGGCCCAAAGCCAAAAGGAGGATTTTTAAAACTTTTTCAATTTAAATTATTCATGAAATGCAATTCCATTTATTAAAAAATACTTCCTTGGCTCAAATAAATCCCAGAAAAATCTAGAAACTATAGAATCAAGTAAAGTATTTAACAAAATTTTATCTAGCCCACTTTTATATTGGAATTTATTATTTAAAATTAGATCTTCTCTTCTAGGCTTTTAAAATTCATTTCTAATGATTCCAATTAAACAACAATTTATATATTTAAGATTTTTAGGGTGTGACAAACCTACCCCCTTAAACAGAATCTCGTCCTCGAGATTTGGAAGAACTAGCGAAAAGATGCGGATGAGCTGACTTTAATTCATCTTCTCGTTCCCAAGTAGATTCTTCCTCTGAGTGATTACTCCATTGAACCTTATAGAAACGGATAACTCGATTCTTGGTTCTTCTCTCATCTGTCTCTAAGATACGGATTGGTTTCTCAATATATGTCAGATCCTCTTGGACCACTATCTGTTCCAGATTAGCTTCTTCGGTGGGTACCCTTAAACACTTTTTCAACTGTGACACATGGAAAACATTATGGACACCTGCCAAGGATTGAGGTAACTCCAACTGATAAGCGACCTCTCCTCTTCTACTGACAATCTTATAAGGTCCCACAAAACGCGGTGCCAATTTTCCTTTAGTGTGAAAACGATGAACCCCTTGAAGAGGCGTGACACGAAGGTACACATGATCTCCTTCCTCAAAACTTAAATCTCTGCGGCGATTGTTGGCATAACTCTTATGACGAGAATGAGCCACACGCAATCTTTCTTGAATGATCTTTACCTTCTCTTCTGCTTCCCTTAGGATATCAGTCCCAAAAACCTGACGTTCTCCCATTTGATCCCACAAAAGCGGAGTGCGGCACTTCCGACCATACAGTGCTTCATAAGGAGCCATTTGAAGACTAGCTTGATAACTGTTGTTGTACGAGAATTCCGCGTAAAGCAGATTCTTATCCCAACATCCACCGAAGTCTAAAGCACAAGCTCTCAACATGTCTTCCAAAATCTGATTTACCCTTTCAGTTTGTCCGTCTGTCTGCGGATGGTAAGCGGTACTGAAGTTCAACTTGGAACCCATCTCTTCCTAAAGTTTCTTCCAAAACTTTGAAGTAAACTGGCTACTTCGATCGGATACTATTTTCTTAGGAACACCATGCAAACACACAATCCTTGCCATATACAATTCCGCCAAACGGCTTCCAGAATATGTTGTCCTCACCAGGATGAAATGAGCCATTTTGGTAAGTTTGTCGACTATCACCCAAATAGAGTGATGGCCCGATGATGTTCTGGGTAGACCAGTGATGAAATCCATGCCGATTTCCTCCCACTTCCATTCTGGTATCTTCAAAGGCTGCAACAAACCTACGGGTTTCTGATGTTCTGCCTCGACTCACTAACAGACATCACACACAGCTACATACTCTGCTATCTCACGCTTCATACTTGCCCACCAAAATCTTTCCTTGAGGTCTTGGTACATCTTAGTACTACCAGGGTGAATGGAGTATAAAGTATCATGAGCTTCCTTCAGTATTGCATCTTTCAAATCTTTGTTGTCTGGGACACAGATTCTCTCACCCAACCATACAGTTCCTTGCTCATCTTCCAAGAAACCGATAGCTTTTCCTCTTCTCATATTCTTCTTGATCTCATGAATATCAGGATCATTAATTTGGGCTTCTCTAACTTGATCAATGAGAGTGGGCTTCGCTTCTAAGGCTGCAACGAAACCTCTACTGACAATTTCCAAATTTAATCTTTCAAATTCCTTGCATAACTTCAATGGCAACTGTCGTCCTTCCGTAGCATTGCAATAGCCTTTCCTGCTGAGAGCATCTGCTACAACATTGGCCTTTCCTGGGTGATAATGAATTCCCATATCATAGTCCTTAATCAGTTCCAACCATCTCTGTTGTCTCATGTTTAGATCCGACTAGATAAAAATATACTTCAAACTTTTGTGATCAGTGTACACCTCCGTACGAGTACCAAAAAGATAGTGACGCCAAATCTTCAACGCATGAACCACTGCAGCTAACTCAAGATCATGAGTAGGGTAGTTCTTCTCATGCGGACGTAACTAACGAGATGCATAGGCAACCACCTTCCCATCTTGCATCAGAACACAACCTAACCCAAGCTTAGATGCATCACAATACACTTGGAAACCCTTCTTAGGATCATGCAAAATCAAAATGGGAGCTGATATTAAGCGACTTTTCAACTCTTGAAAACTCTGCTCGCACTCTTCTGACCACTTGTACTTCACATCTTTCTGAAGCAGTCGTGTCATGGGCTTGGCAATCTTGGAAAAATTCTCTATGAACCTCCGGTAATAACCTGCGAGACCCAGAAAACTACGAATCTCTGAAACTGTCTTCGGTTGTTTCCAGTTGGTTACGGATTCCACATTACTAGGATCAACGGCAACTCCTCCGGCTGAGATGATGTGACCAAGGAACTTCACTTCAGACAACCAAAATTCACATTTGCTAAATTTGGCATACAACTGATGTTCTCGCAGCTTCTCTAGTGCAAGACGAAGATGTTCTTCATGCTCTTCATTGGTTCGGGAATAGATGAGAATATCATCAATAAAGACGACCACGAACTTGTCTAGGTATTCTATAAACACCTTGTTCATCAAGTTCATGAAGAAAGCGGGGGCATTGGTAAGTCCAAAAGACATAACAGTACATTCAAACAACCCATACTTAGTGGTAAAAGCCGTCTTAGGTATATCCTCCTCTTTAATCCTCAACTGATGATACCCTGATCGAAGATCGATCTTGGAGAAAACGGTGGCACCTTTAAGCTGATCAAATAAATCATCAATTCTGGGCAGCGGGTACTTATTCTTGATAGTGACATCATTTAGTGCACGATAGTCCACACACATCCTCTGGGTATGATCTTTCTTTTCCACAAAGATGACTGGAGCTCCCCATGGAGACGAACTCGGTCTGATGTATCCTTTCTGAAGCAAATCATCTACTTGCCTCTTGACTTCTGCTAATTCATTGGCTGCCATTCTATAAGGTCTCTTATGGATCGGAGTTGTTCCTGGTACCAGATCTATTCTGAATTCTATATCCCTTTTAGGCGGCATACCAGGTAAATCATCAGGGAACACATCGGGGTACTCCCGTACTATAGGAATCTCTTCCAAAGTTATTTGGTTCAGACTCGACCTTAAAAGTTCAGAGGGCAATGCATGAACAGTTACAACTTGACCATCATTGCTGGTGAGAGTTACTTTTCTATTGGCACAATCTATCACACCTTTATATCTGGCTAACCAGTCCATTCCTAGGATGACATCAAGATCTTTGGATTCTAACAGAATAAGGTTGGCCAGAAATGGTACTCCTTGAATCTCTGTTCTGACAGAGGGGCTACGTTGTGATGAGAGTGCTTGGTTACTCGGAGTACTAACCATCAAAGGACGTCTAAGATCTTCTACTTCCATCCCATGATTTCCCGCAAAACTCAAAGATAAAAAGGAATGCGTAGCACCAGAATCGAAAAGCACTGTTGTAGGAACTGAGTTAACAGGGAATGTACCCAAAATCACATCTGGAGCACCTTGAGCTTCTGCAGCAGCAACATGATTGACACGAGCCTTTGTCGCTGGTGCGGAGGAGTTGTTCTGAGCAGGGACAACCTTCGCGCGGCGGGGCTTCGGACACTTGTCAGCGTAATGTCCTAGGTCACCACAATTGAAGCACACTCCGGGCTTGCTGCCTTGCTCCCTCTTGGCTAGCTGATTCTATGTCAGAGCTGCAACAGGACGTGGAGCTTGGTTGCGGTTGTTGTTGCCAGCATTGTTGTTGAAGAACTGACGCTGCGGACGAACAACAGACTAAGAACCTCCCTCTAGCATTGACTGAGGTCCCATAGCAAGACGCTGTCTCTGACTATTCCCCTGCTGAGCCTTGAAGTGAGCAATTCGGCGTTTCTTCTGCTCCATGCAGTTGTACTTGTCCTCCTGGCGAATAGCCTTATCCACTAACTTCTGGAAATCATGATAATCCCCAGTCATTAATGGGTAAGAAAGCTCATCATTCAGACCTTCGAAGAACTTCTCCTGACGCTCTTCATCAGTGCGCACATCTTCTGGAGCACAACGGGCCAGACGATTGAATTCATGCAAGTATTCGGTGACAGAGCGAGATCCCTGAATGAGCGCCCTGAACTCCTTCTTCTTGAGAGACACCACTCCCGATGGTATGTGCGTCTTCCGGAAAGCAGCGGTGAACTCAAGCCAAGAGATAGGTTCAGCAGTAGTCCTGTTGAGACGGAAGTGATCCCACCACTCAGAGGCAGGGCCATGCAGCTGGTGTGAAGCAAAAGAAACCTTCTCTTGATCTGTGCACTGAAGCAGGTCCAACTTCTTCTCTATGGCGTGCAGGCAATCACCAGCTTCAACAGGATTGGTGGTGCTAGAGAAAGTAGGCGGCCTCACGCGAAGAAATTCTGCCAGCTTATTCGGGGGAGGTGCATGGTTGTTTCCCTGGTTCTGCTGGTTCTGGAGTTGCTGCATCATCAGATTCATAAGC